TCCTCCCCCCTTCCTCCTCCCCCCTTCCCCTCCCCACTTCCTTCCTTCCTTCCCTCAGCCCTTCACTCACACAACTGACACTCAGATGTTCCTCAAGCATCTCCTATGAATTGAGTCCTGGCGAGGCAGCAGGGGCTCAGCACCCAGGACAGGCGAGAGGGAGGGCCCCAAAGCCCCGCTGGGGTGCCTGCTGTTTGGACAGTGGCTTCTGCATGAGCTCAGGGTGCTCACCTCCTGTCTTCATTGCGCCTGCAGCTTTGACCCCCCTGGGCCCATGCCAGCCGGCATGTCCTGTGAAGTGCTTGTCACCTTCAAGCCCACGGTGAGTGTTGAGCCCAACACCAAGCCGTGGAAAAGGGGGTTTTCTCACCCTGCCGCAAGAGGGTGGTGGGTGGAATCGGGGTCTCCGCTGCCCGCCAGGCTCCACAGAGTGCTGTGATGGAGGAGGGACACACCTCAGAAGGGGTCACGCAGGCCCCCGTTAGGCTGTTTTATGCCCCAAACATATTGGAATGTTCCTCAATGCCAGCAGGGTGACAAGGCAGCTCCTCTGCGTCGCTGGCTGCCAGGTGTGACCGCTGGTGCTAGCGGGTCCGAGGGGGGCGCACTCCGTGGACCCCTCCCTCGGGCGGGGTGTGGTGGCTGTGACTGTGCGGACAGCACATGTCACTGTGGAAGGCTGCGAACATGGGGGTGGTTGGGTGGTTTTACTTTTTAGGTAAACAAAGATCTGGAAGGAAACGTCTCGTTTCTGGCTCAGACGGGCAGGTTTTCCGTTCCACTGAAATGTTCAGCGAAGAAATGCTCCGTGAGTTCTCACCAAGTGTCCGGGTTGGGAGGGTGGGTGGCCGGGGCCTGAGGCGTCCAGCCTGGGGAGGTGGGCACCCGCGGCAATGCTGGAAACGTCCAGGCGAGTCCTGCACTGGGTGGAGCCCAGGTTTCAGGAACCCCGGGTCAGAGGAGACCCTGCTCCTCCTGGAAGCTCTGTGGGGTCCCTTTGATTCCTTTCTTTTTTTGAGCTATAGTTGCCCTGCTGCATCTTACATCCCCAGACCTTATAACTGAAGTTTGTGCCTTTGGACCCCCTTCACCCATTTTGCCCACCTCCACCCCTGCCTCTGGGAGCCACCATCTGTTTTTGTATCTGTGAGTTCCACGTTTTTTAGATTCCACGTATAAGTGCAATCATACAGTATCTGTCTTTTCTGCCTGACTTATTTCACTTAGCTCAGTATCATCCAGGTTGTTGCAAATAGCAAGGTTTCCGTTTTAATGGCTGAATAACGTTCCATTTTATATGTACCACATTTTCTTTATCCATCCATCCATCGATGGCCGCTTAGGTTGCTTCCATGTCTTGACTTTTGTAAATAGTGCTGCAGTGAACATGGGCATGCACACAACTCTTCTGATGATACCAGTTTCATGCCTTTGGATAAATACCCAGAGGTGGAATTGCTGGATCATATGGTAATTCTACTTTTAATTTTTTGAGGAACCTCCATACTGTTTTCCATAGTGGTTGCACTAATTACATTCCCACCAACAGTGCACGAGGGTTCCCTTTTCTCCACGTCCTCTCCAACACTTGTTATCTCTTTCTTTTGGATAATAGCTATTCCAACGGTATAAGGTGATATCCCATTGTGGTTTTGATTTGCATTTCTCTGATGATTAGTGATACTGACCACCTTTCATGTACCTGTTGGCCATTTGGATGTCTTCTTTGGAAAAATATCTATTCAGTTCCTCTGCCCATTTGTAAATCAGATTGTTTGTTTTTAGGGTTTTTTTTGCTATTCAGTTGTGTGAGTTCTTCATATATTTTGGATATTAACCCTTTATCAGTTGTGTGATTTGTAAATATTTTCTCCCATTCCATAGGTTGCCTTTTCATTTTGTTGGTGATTTCCTTTGCTGTGCAGAATTGATTTTTTCTTTTAATTAAGAGAAGTTTCGAAGTGATGAGGAGCAGAAAGAATAGTACAAAGTGTGTCCACGGACCCGTTTCCAGTCCAGTCATTGTCAACATTTGCCCCACTTGCTTCGGCTGTGTCTACCTGTCTGTTTTTGCTGGCCCACTTCGAAGTGACTTGGCAATATCACAGCACTCAACACCCATCCTTATAAAATGCCAGCATATGCCTCTAGAATAAAATTAGCCACATTCCTAGCTATCTCCTGTCGCCCAGTGCACATTCAAATGCACTGAAATGCCCCCAAACCAGCTGCTATAACTGTGATGTTTTAAGCTGGGACACAGTCAAGCTCACGCATTGCCTTTGATTATTAGGTTCTTCAGTCTCTGTTTCTTCAGGCTTTAGTTGTGGTAAAATACACATAGCATAGAATATACCATCTTAACCATTTCTCGGTGCACAGTTCAGGGCTGTTAAATACTTTCACACTGTTGGGCGGCCCTCACCGGAACTCCTCGTTTTGCCAAACCGTCCCCGTTAAACACTCCCTCCAGCCCCTGGCGACCTCCATTCTGCTCTCTGTCTCTACAAACTTGATGACTCTAAGTGCCTTATATAAGTGGAATCACATGCTATTGTCCCTTTTGTGACTGGCTTACTTCACTGAGCACAGTGCCCTCAAGATCCATCCGTGTTGTGGCCTGGGTCAGAATTTCCTTCCTTTTTCAGGCTGGTTGCTATGGAGGGCTTTGCCTCTGTCACTTTGCTCTTGCTTTCATTGCCGTGCAGCTCTTCTGTCCCTCATTTCCTGCGCTGCTGTCTTTATGTTGATTTTATGCAGTGAAGTGTTTAAATTCCTTTCTCATCTCCTTTTATGTATTTTCTTTGCGGTTTCAGTGAGGATCACATTTAACATCCTAGAGTTATAACAGTCTGACTTGGGTTGGTATTAGCTGACTTCGACAGCTTACGAAAACTCTGCTGCTTTACGACTTTGCTCCTACTCTGCGCAGTCATTGATGTCACAGAATTACATTTGTATAACTTGTGTGTCCAGTAACATGAACTAAAATTTTTAAATGCATTAGTTTCTCAAGTTATGTAGAAAACAAAATGTGGTGTTACAAACCAAAGTTACAGTAACACTAGCTTTTGGACTAATAATTGCTTTATAAAATAATGTATTAGTGTTTTAAACCATGTAGGAACTAAAAGTGCAGTTACAAACCATTGCGACAGTGACACCAGCTTCCATAATTGCGCGTGCGTTTCCCTCTGCAGAGCTTGGAGTGAGCTTGGAGTTACTGTCTGGGGCCCTTTCCTCTCACCTGCGGGGCTCGCTGGGGCATTTCCTGCAGGCGAGTCTGTGGTGAGGAACTCCCGCAGCTTTTGTCTCTCTGGGACTGACTTGATTTCTTCCTCACTCTTAAAGGTCGTAGGATTCTCGACTGACGTTTTTCTTCCTCGAGCACTTTGAGTAAATGGGCGCGGCCCCCTCTCCTCCAAAGAGTCTGATGAGAAACCTGCCCAGAATGTTCCTGAGGCTCCTTGTGTGTGACGGGTCATTTCTCTCCTGCTGCTGTCAAGATTCTCTCTCTTTCTCTGGCCTTTAACAGCCCGATTAGAAGGTGTCTCAGCACGAGTCTCTTTGAGTTCGTCCTACTTGGGGTCTGTTGAACTTCTTGCATGTTTATATCATACCTTTCATCAAATGCGGGAAGCTTTCGGCCATTTTTTGCCGTATTCTCTCTCTGCCCTTTTCTCCCCTCCTCCTAGGACCCCACAATGCATATAGTGGCCCCTTGATGGTGTCCCACAGACCCCTCAGTCTCTGTTCACTTTTCTTCAGCCTTTTTCCTTCCTGTTCCTCAGCCTCGATGACCCCATTGTCCCATCTTCAGGTTCCCGGATTCTGTCTTCTCCCTGATCAGATCCACCTCTGAATCCTGCTACTGAGTTTTCACTTCAGTTCTGGTACTTTTCAGCTCCAGATTTTTGTTGTTGTTTCTTTTCAGAAACATTGGTATTTCCATTTTGTTCACACATCATTTTCTTGACTCCCTTCACACCTTCCTTTACCTCCTTTACCTCTTTGAGCATCTTTAAGACAGTTGTGTTAAAGTCCTGGTCAAGTAGACCTGCCATCAAGTCCTTTTCAGGGACAGTTTCTGTTGATATATTTTTTCTTTGAATGAATCATACTTTCTGTTTCTTTGTATGATTGTGGAGCACTGGACATTTGAATCTAATAATGTGGTAACTCTGGAAATCAGAGTTTTCCCCTTTTCCAGGGTTTGCTGTGTTTTGTTACTGTTTCTGTTTGTTTGCTTTTCGATTGCTGTCAGCTCTCTCTGTGCTGAGGATCAGCCTGAGATGTAACCTTACTGTCTTCCCAGGTCTCTTCTGAGCCTTTCCCTAGGCGTGCCTGGTCAATTCCTGGTTTCCCCTGTATACGTCCTAACCTTTAATAACTGACTCACAAATGAGGAAAAAGAGAAAAATGAAGGAGGGGAGGAAAAAAAGTGTGCTGGCCCTTTAAGTCCCCTGGAGTCACTTCAGGAGAGGGGGAGGGGCATGTGACAATGGGACAGGAGCAGCAACTATGTAGTTCCATTTTTAATCTTTTGAGGAACCTCCACACTGTTTTCCACAGTAGCTGCACCATCTTACATTCCCACAAACAGTGCACAAGATTTCCAATTTCTCCACGTCTTCACCAGCACTTGTTGTTTTCTGGGGTTTTTTGACAGGAGCCATCCTGATTGGTGTGAGGTGGTGTCTCATTGTAGCTTTGATTTGCATTTCCCTGATGATTAGTGATGTTGAACATCTTTTCATGTGCTTGTTGGCCATGGGTATGTCTTCCTTGGAAAAATGTCTGTTCAAGTCCTTTACCCATTTTTTTTTTTTTTTTTTTTTTTTTTTTTTTTTT